AAAAAATAATGAATGGGCAGCTAGGACTCCTGGTGCGGCGCTACAGGATCAGCACTGGACCACAAGGTCGACAGTTCAAACCCACCAACTTATCCTTGGAAACACTATTCAGGGTCATTTTGAGTTGGCGTTAATAACAAAAACAACACGGACAGCTAATCTTTGAATGGTTCTGGCAAAACTGTCCATTTTGTAGAAAAATGAAACAGGATCTCCATGCTTCACACCTCCATGAAAACGAAATCAAAGTGGATCAAAGACTCGAATATACAATCTCAAACTACAAAGGAACAATAAAAGCAAACTTAGGGGCTCTAATTTATGGCATAAATAAACTATTAAACAAAACTAAAAATACACAAACAGCAGAAGATCAATTATATGACTGGGACCTTCTGAAAATCAAACACTTGTGCACATCAAGAGACTTGTCCAAAAGAATAAAGACAGAACCTACATACAGGGAAAACATTACTGGCAATAACACATTGACCAGGGACTAATCCATAAATGTATACAAAACTTCAATACCTCAAACAACAAAAGATAAGCAATTCAATTAAAGCGGGCAGATGACACGACAGACATTGTACCAAAGAAGACATACAAGTGGCCAACAAACTCACAAAGAAATGCTGATAATAACTAATCACTGTTCTTGAGTGCTGTCAAGTTGGTTCTGACTCAGCGAAACTGTATAGGGCTTCTGAGGAGCAGCTGGTGAGTTTGAACTACCGAACTTGTTTTTAGGTGTCATCAAGTAGGTACCAACTTACAGCGACCCTATGCACAACAGAAAGGAACATTGCCCGATCCTGGGCCAACCTCACAATTGTTGCCACGCTTGAGCCCACTGATGTTGCCACTTTGCCAATCCATCTCACTGGGAGTCTTCCTCTTTTTCTCTGACCCTCCACCTTACCAAATATGGTATCTTTTCTCCAGTGACTGTCCCTCCGAACAACATGTCCAAAGTATGAGAGACGAAGTTTGGCCATCCTGGCCTCCAAGGAGCACTCTGGCTGCACTTCTTCCAACACAGATCTGGTGGTTCTTTTGGTAGCCCATGGCACTTTCAATATTCTCCTCCAACACCATAACTCAAAAGCATCAATTCTTCTA